TATGAGGCCTATACCAAAACGTGGATCTCCATTTATGATTTTTTGTACGAAGATTGAGTCAATATTAATAACTTTCGATAGGCTTGGTCGATCTAGTCCTGGTCAAAACATTCCAATCGCCTATTATTGGATTTGTAAATATTGAAAATCTTTGACCATTTGTGGGGGAGGTACCAGGAGCAGTGAATCAGTGGTCCCATTTTCGGACTTGATCTAGAATTGATAAAGATATTAGGTTGTGTAAAGTTTTGTTCAAATCGGACATTCTTTTTGCCTAATAATTATTTACAATTTTGACCATTTGTGGGGGAGGTACCAGAAGGAGTGATATAAGCTTAGTAAAAACAATAGGTTGTGGAAAGTTTGGTTCAAATCGGATAGTCCGTCAAATCGGATAGTCTCTAGGGTTTGGGCACGGATATCTACCCTATTAGTAAATCATCCCATTAAACCTTTCTACCAAAAATTATCAATATCGGTTTAGGGTATGGTGTACCTCCCATATAACGTACCGATCCATTTTCGGTATTTTGAAGGCTTTGACTGCATTTTTTCCACTGATGTGGCTGTAAATTGGAACAAAGGATTCCTGGCGGAATTTATCATTCTGGGACATTGTTAAACACACATGTTTGCGTAATAAAGCCTCATTATACCCTTCACCACACTGTGGTACAGGGTATTATGTCTTTGTGCATGTGTTTTCAACAGGCAAAAATAATCGAGATAGGTCCATGGTTCCTTTTGAGAATATACATAGAATCACTTTCTGAGTCGATTTATGCATGTCCGTCCGTCCGTCCATGTATTTTTGTTAACAAAGTACAGGTCGCATTTATTATCCGATTTGGATGAAATTTGACACAGGTCACTTAATTGGCCCAAGGACGAACCCTATTGAAATTGGGAAAAATTGGTTCAGATTTAGATATAGCTCCCATATATATTTTCGTCCGATTTAAGGTAAATGGTGTACCAAAGTCCTGAATTAGGTCCTGAATTAGGTCCAGAATGATGTATGCCAAGTTTCGAGAAAATCGGTTCAGATTGAGATATAGCTCCCATATATAGTTTCGTCCGATTTAAGGTAAATGGGGAACCAAAGTCCCTCTATATCTTTCGATTTGCATGAAATTTGGCACAGCGTACTGAATTAAGTCTAGAATGATGTCTGCCAAATTTCGTGAAAATCGGTCCAGATTTAGATATAGCTGCCATATATATTTTCTTCCGATTTCATGTAAATGGTGCACCAAAGTCCCTATATATCTTTCGATTTGCACGAAATATGGCATGACGTATTGAATTGAGCGTAGAGCGATGTCTGCCAAGTTTCGTGAAAATCGGTTCAGATCTATATATATATTTTTTCGTCCGATTTAATTTAAATAATGTGCCAAAGTTCTTATGTTGCATAGCGTACTGAATTTAGTCCAGAATTTTGTGTGCCAAGTTTCGTAAAAATCGGTTGGGATTTAGATATAGCTGGTATGAGTAATTGACGCACCAAGAAACCAATATATGGCTAACAGGAACTAAACGTACCGAAATTAGTATAACTTAACCTGTGACAAGTTTCATTGAAATCGTTTCATATTTGGGTATAGCTTCTATATATACTTTCGTCCGATGTTAAGTAAATTGTACATCAAACTCCTCATGTTTGTCAGATTGATATCAAATTTTGTACAACGTACAAAATTGAGTCTAGAATAACGTAGTTACGTTTTCTAGAAGTACAGACACAGCCCAACGGATGACCTATTGATATTTGTTTGAAGTCGATTTTCATACTTTTGTCCCAAACGAATGACATGTTTATGGATAGATCTAGTCCGATTCACATTTAGATAAATATCACATATTTTATTTCATCGAATTTCATGTTAATAATGCTATTTAATATACCCATAGTGGTGAATGGTATCATATAGTCGGCCCCGTCCGACTTTACTACTTTCCTTACTGGTTTTTAAATTGTTTAAATTTAAATTTTTCCCCACCAAATTTTCGAAATAGGTTATTGTTTAGACACAGCCTCCGAGTTTTCGTTTGGAGTTGCAAGAGCGAAAAAAACATATTTTTAGATAATTTTTGATATAAATCGATGTTGGCATATCCTCCATAGAAAGGTTGACATAACCTTTATATAAGGTTGCAGACACATTTTTTGTAATAATAAGATTTTAACCTAATTTTCTTATCGATGTGGTAATAATTTGGCATTTCGAATTCCTGGTGAATAAAAAACGTATTTCCAAAAATAATTCAATATTGGTTATTTTTTTTAATTAGTCCACATACAAATGGTACGCTTTGGTATGTTGATGTTCCTGTTCCAATTGTCCAACCTATATGTCTATAATTTGGAATATTATTATTCAGATCATGACTAATCTACTACCAAACTAATGCAATAACATAGTTCCCATATTTTTGGTAAAATAAATTGTCCAAATATGCATATGAGAGCTATTTGTAAAACCTAACAGAATTCCCATAGTATTCATTATAAACTCAATTAGAAATGATGTGTAAAATTTAGTCTCAATCGGAGAAACATTGGGATTTTGGTACACTATTATGAAATCGGGGTAAAATATATATATGGGAACTATATCTAAATCTAAACTGTCATGTGGTGTTAGGTATTGCAGGGAATGACGTTCTGATTCTAATATCTAACCGCCCAGACGAAACGGCTAAAGCCAGAAGCTTGAAATTTTGAGTGTGGGTTGTTGTTGGTGTGTAGGCGTCAGATAAGGCTGGGTTTTTGGAGATTCGTACTAGAAGGGTACGAAAAGTACTAAAATGTACCAAATATGGTACCCTTTGTATTAGGCGAACGGGAAGAGCTAGAATTCTGAAATTTGGAATGTGGGTCACTGATGGAAAGTTAGAAAGATGTACAAAAGGGTTTTTGGATATTCGACCTATAAGTGTACTAAAAGTACTAAAGTTTCTACATATATTGAACATATATAGCTAAAATCTTGAAATTTTATATAGAATACAGGTTGATGTATAGAAATGGTTTAAGATGTTCGTACTTATGTTTTTTAAAAAGTACTAAATTTGGTACTATTTGCATTTAGTTGAGTATATATAGATGGAATCCTGAAAATCGCAATTAGGACTGTTGGAATACAGGATTGAGGTAGCTTTAAAAAATCGTACATTTGTATACGAAAAGTACTTAATGGTACTAAATTTGGTGCAAGTTGGATTTCGGTTCACATATAGAGCTGGAGTCTTGAAATTGGGAATTAAAATGACAGTTGCAGTGAAGAATTGAGGTAGTTTTTGAAATTCGCACTGGTACGAAAAGTACTAAATCGTACTAAATATAGTTCAATTTGGATTTTGCTTAAACGGATGAGATTAAAACCTGAAATTTGGAATTCTGATTACTGTTGAAGATTGAGCTATAGTGACATCTGTGGAAATTCGTATTTGTGTGTACGAAAAGTACTAAACGGCACTAGATATGGTACAATTTGGATTTGGGTGAACGGAGAGAGCTGGAAACCTAAAATTTGGAATAATGGTGGCTTTTAGAATATAGAAATAAGGTATGGAAGCATTGTACGTATGTGTACTAAATGGTACTATATTTGGTTCAACTTGATTAAGTGGATAGAGTTGGACTCCAGAATTTTAGAATTAAAATTACTTTTGAAGTGCAGGATTGACGAAGTTTAATTATAGAAACAAAAAGTACTAAATGGTACAAATGGATAGGGTTGAGATTCTGAAATTTTGATTAAATTAATATTACTGTTGGAGTGCAGGATTGAAATATGTCGGTAGTTTTGAAAATTTGTCATTTCGTATACTAAATGGTACTAAATTTGGTACAGTTTAGATCAGAGTGAATGAATAGAGATGGAAAACTTAAATTTAGAATGCAAATCACAAAATTAAGGTAGTATTGGAATTTCGTACTCTTGGATACGAGAAGCACTAAATGGTACTAAATAGGGTACAATTCGTTTTGTGTAAGCGGGAACCCTAAAATTTGGAATCAAAATTAAAGGTGGAGTGTAGGATTGAGATATGGAGGTAGTTTTGAAAATGCATGATTATGTGTACTAAATGGTACTAAGTTTATTTAGATTGAGATAAAAAACATATATTTGAAAATGAAATTACTGTTAGAGTACAGGATTGAGACAGTGTTGAAAATTCAAACTTAAAGTACGAAAAGTACTAAATGGTACTAAATATGCTACAATTTGGATTTATGTGAACGGATATGGCTGGGATCCTGAAATTTATGATTAAAATTACTGTTGGAGTGTGGTGAACGGATAGAGCTGGAATCCTTAAATGTGGACCAAAGGTTATTATTGGAGAACATTACTGGGGTAGTTTTGGAAATTAGTACTTATGGGTACGAAAAGCACAAAATTTGGTACAAATTGGACATTGGTGAACGGGTAGAATTCGAATACCGATAGTTGCAACTTATGTTACTGTGGGAGTGTAGATTTGACAAAGTTTGGAATATGGGTACGAAAAGTACAGAATGGTACCAAATCTGGTATAAATTGGTTTTTGATGAACAGACAGAGCTGGAATTCTATTGAAATTGGGAAAAATCTGTTCAAATATAGATATAGTTCCCATATATATTTTAGTCCGATTTTAGGTAAATAGTGCACCAAACTCACTAAATATCCTTCGATTTACACGAAATTTGGCACAGCGGGCTGAATTACGTCTAGAACGATGTATGTAAAACATCGGTTCCGATTTAGATATAGCTTCGTCCGATGGTGTACCAAAGTCCCTATATATCTTTCGACTTGCACGAAATTTTGCATGGGGTACTTTACTACTTTCTTTCATCCTTTATTAACAGGATATCTGCCACAGATATCCTATTCATTATTCAATTCATATACTAGAATTTAATGGCTTTATTATAAGTTAATTTATGCAAATTCCAATAAAGCAATTTACCCGAAAAAAACTTTTTATTATAATTTGCAACTCACCTGCACAAGGAAACATAATGCAATTGTTAATGACAATTTTTTCAATCTCATCTTTAAATGTCTATCAATGTGTATGTGTGTACGAAATAATCTGAAAATAAACAAAAAAATTCAAGATAAATACATTTTCGGAATTATTTACAAAGTGAAAGTTAAATTATTTATTCATTAGGTTTGGCAAATCTTGAGATTAGCATAACATATGAACTGACACAGAAATTCTATATACATAAATGTTGTTTGCGGCAGTTGTTGTGGCCGATGTACTCTCAATTGTATAATTGTAAATTGAATATAGTTTTTTGTTTTTTTTTTTTTTTTTTTTGTCATTCCATTTTATGCTACAAGATGATAAAAGCTTATTTGATTTCAATTTAATTTCGACATGATTTTGCTATTAATTTACCACAAATAAGTGTCAAGTGGAGATAATGCTACTAAACAATGGCAAACAATAACATTATTGAACAATTGTTTTTGTTGTTGTCATTTGAAAATTTGTTAGTATTGTTTATTGATAATTGATAATTATTGTGTGTGTGCTGTTAATTTGCTTATTCGCCATTGTCTCAACGCCCGCCCCGTCTATATATCGCCCATTGTATTTGCTGAAGAGATTTTCTATTTTATAACTCTTTAATGGACATTTACAAGCAAACACACATCTTCACATATTGTTGTTGCCTTGTCTTAAACCTTTTGTGTCCATTGTTGGACTTGTTAGCCTTTAGGCAACACTTGGACAAGTGTTCAGTACTCGTATATAGATACACTCCTACAACTGAACGTACATGAATAGGGTATATTCTTTTTGCCATAATTTGCAAATAACTCGCAGGGCATTGTGTGTTCGATTGTGTGTCAATCAATTATTGTGTCTGTGTGTGTGTCTCGGACAACAAATTGACCACACAACAATGAAACCTTATTACATTTTGATTATGGGAATTACCAATAAGTGATTTCACTTTCTACTGCTATTGGTCCGGTCCATTGGTTTTCGATTATTAGCAATCATCTTTGCAAAACGTTTTGTAAAATCTGATGTAGAAATTTAAGCATATCATTTGTATTGATTTGATGGGTATGAAAAATTTGATCCAGTTGGAGTTTAAGGGGATGCACTATGGGCCAGAGATGCCATTTTTTTGGCCATAATTTGAACATTGGGTTTATGAAATGAATAAATAAATATAACATATTAGGTTGGGGAAAATGAAATCCATTATTTTTTTCGGCAGATTGCTGTACTGATAGAATTCTCGTAAAGTATAGATCAAACAATTTCAGATGTATGCTCGTTGGAAGGGTGACATTTTGCCATACTGTAACAGCCAATTATGTGCAATTATGGAGGATTGTAAAAATCGGCTACTAGAGTTTTTTTTGCTTACAGAGAGCAGGACTTCTATGAGAGAAAAATAACGGATTTTCCCCAACCTAATATATACATCCGAATCGATTTGAACAAAACATAATATAACGTTATTCAATACAAATTAAGTTTTGGAAAATTTCGTGTCAGTCAGAATAAGCGCTTGGCATTTAGTGAATCTTTATACCCTACACAACTATGTTGTCAGGGTATTATAGCTTTGTGCAGCTCCAAAAGTTTTTAACGCCGCGAAATATTGGTCCTACCTTTAAGTATACCGATCGTCATATCTCGACTAGCTGAGTCGATCTAGGCATGTGTGTCCGTCCGTCCTCCTGTCCATTATAATTTGTAAACACGATGCAGGCCACAGTTATGGTCCAATCTTCACGAAATTTTGCATGTAGGATGGGTTCTGGCCAATGAAAACCCCTATTGTTTTTGGTAAAGATCGGTTAATATTTAGGTGATGAAATGGACCACAAACTTTATTTTTGTCTGATTTTCTGGTAGCTCTAGAGGGCGCAATTATGGCCCAAACATCGCGAATTTTTACATGGAGAAGGGGATCGGGCCAAAGAAGAGGCATGCCTGTTTTGGTAAAGATCGGCCAATATTTAGCGGGTCAAATGGACCCTGACTTTTGTGTGAAAATTTACAAAATTTGTATCCTTTATTGTATCCTTTTATTGTCGTATGTACTCGGATGTGGGAGTTACACTTAAATATTTACAGGTGCTTACGTACTCAGATATTATTTAGTAACCCATTACCACAATAGAGGACGGAAATATAGCGCTCATTGCTTTGAAATTTTCCATTAGTATCCAGGTGTGGTCAAGGACAACGCCCATCATTTTCGGTGATGATCAGATAATAATATTGGGATGAAGTGGACCGAAAACTTAATTTTTTTAGAAGGACTGTACTGAATATTAGTAATATTTGTTGACCTCTAGTGGGTCAAGAGTGCAAATATCGAGAAATATTTCCCAAGCTCAGAATATAGAATAGCAGAAAGTTAGAACCGCAAAAAGTTGTGTAGGGTATCATATGGTCAGCCCGTCCGACTATACTGCTCCGCTCACTGTTTTTTTTTTTATTAAAAACGAGCGAAAATATATAAATGCAAGTTATTTTTGAGATGAGAAATATTTTTTAAAACATATCCTCCTCCAATTGGAGTACTTCCGTGAAATGTTTTCCTTTTTTTTTGAACCGTAATCCAATTAACACAAGACGAAATTTGTTGACTTTCACATAGTCGCTCATGAGATTTTAGGTCGAAATCTAAATTCATTTGTTTTCATTATACTTTTCCGAAATTTTTATATCATTCAGAAGTCTTTTAAAAAATCGGAAATGCCAACCAACAAGACCGAAAACCCTTCAGGTCATTCTTTATATGGGGGCAATGTCTAATGATGGGACTACATCGCAAATCTTGTGCAAGGCTTAGTATCACTCGACAAACACTCCGAAATACCAAATTACAAACACAACCACTTCTTGAGAAATTCACTTACTGCTTTCAAAATAACTTTATGACAAAAAAATGGATCCATATCGAAAATCAGTAAAGTCAAATTAAAATCACTTCGGTGGGAAATACGAATAAAATTTTTAAAATATCGAAAACTAAGCAGGATCTTTGTATAGTACCTATGTCCAAACATGAAACTATATTGAATATTTTCTGCAAAGATTTTCGAAAAATGCGGCGTAAACCTTCAAAATACCGAACATTGAAAGGTACCGATATATGAAAGTTATACCAAAACTTGGATTGATATTGATAATTTTTGGTAAGAATATTTGGTAACTAATTAGAACACAAAATATAAAATTATAATCAACTCGGTTGCAAAACAAGTCCCTGGTCCAAAAAATATCGAAATTTGATACAACAATTAAAAAAGTGTCAGTTGGTGTTGCCAACAGATTTATACCCTCAGTCAACGGGTGGGGAGGTCTTGTTAATTGCACACATGTTTATACCCTTCACCACACTGTGGTACAGGGTATTATGTCTTTGTGCATATGTTTGTAACAGGCAAAAGGAAACGAGATAGACACATGGTTCCTTTTGAGAATATGCATAGAATCATTTTCTTAGTCGATTTATGCATGTCCGTCCGTCTGTCTGTCTGTCTGTCCATGTTAAATTGTAAACAAAGTACAGGTCGCATTTATGATCCGAATTGGATAAAATTTGGCATAGGTCACTTATTCGGCCCAAGGACGAACCCTATTGAAATTGGAAAAATCGGTTCAGATTTAGATATAGCTCCCATATATATATTTAACCGATTTGATGTAAACGGTCCCTATATATCTTTCGATTTGCACGAAATTTGGTACAGCCTAATCATTTAGGTCTAGAATGATGTCTGCCAAGTTTCGTGAAAATCGGTCCAGATTTAGATATAGCTCCCATATATAGTTTCGTCCGATTTCATGTAAATGGTGCCCCAAAGTCTTTATATATCTTTCGATTTGCACGAAATTTGGCATAACGTATTGAATTAAGCCTAGAGTGATGTCTGCCAAGTTTCGTGAAAATTGGTCCAGATTTAGATATAGCTCCCATATATAGTTTCGTCCGATTTCATGTAAATGGTGCCCCAAAGTCTTTATATATCTTTCGATTTGCACGAAATTTGGCATAACGTACTGAATTGAGCCTAAAATGATGTCTGCCTTGTTTCGTGAAAATTGGTCCAGATTTAGATATAGCTCCCATATATAGTTTCGTCCGATTTCATGTAAATGGTGCCCCAAAGTCTTTATATATCTTTCGATTTGCACGAAATTTGGCATAACGTATTGAATTAAGCCTAGAGTGATGTCTGCCAAGTTTCGAGAAAATCGGTCAAGATTTAGATATAGCTCCCATATATAGTTTCGTCCGATTTCATGTAAATGGTGCCCCAAAGTCCCTATATATCTTTCGATTTGCACGAAATTTGGCATAACGTACTGAATTGAGCCTAAAATGATGTCTGCCTTGTTTCGTGAAAATTGGTCCAGATTTAGATATAGCTCCCATATATAGTTTCGTTCGATTTCATGTAAATGGTGCACCAAAGTCCCTATATATCTTTGGATTTGCACCAAATTTGGCATAACGTACTGAATTGAGTGATGTCTGCCTTGTTTCGTGAAAATCGGTCCAGATTTAGATATAGCTCCCTTTTATTATGGATTTATTTTAAGTAATTGACGCACCATGGAACCAATAGGAACAACACGTTCTTAAATTAGTATAACCTAACCTGTGACAAGTTTGTTTGAAATCGCTCAATATTTTGATAGAGCTTCCATATATATTTTCGCCCGATTTCAAGTAAATTGGGCATCAAACTCCTCATGTTAGTCAGATTGACATCAAATTTTGCACAACGTACAAAATTGAGCATAGAATTACGTAGTTGCGTTTTCTAGAAGTACAGACATAGCCCAACGGATGACCTATTTTTATTTGTTTGAAGTCGATTTACATACTTTATAGATAGATCTAGGTAGATTTACATTTAGATAAATATCACATATTTTATTTCAACCAATTTCATGTTAATAATCCTGTTTAATACACCCATTGTGGTGAAGGGTATCATATAGTCGGCCCCGTCCGACTTTACTACTTTCCTTACTGGTTTAGTATTCGTTTTTTGTA